GAGAGAGTGGGGAGACAGACAGATAGTGTGTTAGAGTGAAAGAGAGAAAGAGAGAGGGATAGAGAGAGATGGAGATAGCGGGTATGTGTGTGTGTGTGCGTGTGTGTGTGTGTGTGTGTGTGTGTGTGTGTGTGTGTGTGTGTGTGTGTGTATTTGTGTGTGTGTAAGACAATAACCTGTGATTTTTTTAAAAGCTCAGACAATAAAATGTAGTTATTGCAAGCGTTTTAACATTTCCTCTCTGCATTTTACGGGCTTGAGACCGTCACACCGAAGTGGGCTGCATTAAAAATGTTTTGACTTTCCGAAGTCTTTCCCAGAGGGATCCAGTTTACTGGGTTGACCCCAGGGGGGGTGAGGGGAGGGGAGGTGTCTGAGGAAGATAGAACATTGTAAAATGTAAGCATACATCGGGCATAGAGAGAAAGTGGGGGCGGGGTGAGAGAGAGGGGGGAGGAAGAAAAACAGAAAGGGGATTGAGAGTCAGAGAGAGAGAGAGAGAGAGAGAGAGACAGACAGACAGACAGACAGACAGACAGACAGACAGACAGACAGACAGACAGACAGACAGACAGACAGACAGACAGACAGACACACAGACAGACAGACAGACAGACAGAAACGGGGAGAGATGCGAAATGAAAAAAGAGACATGAAATGGGGAAACAAGAATGAGTACAAAAGAGAGGGAGGGACATGGTGGGTTAGAGATAGATATGGACAGAGGCCGAGGGAAGGGAAACGGGAAAGAGGGAGTAAATAAGAGGTATAGAGAGATGGAAAGAAAGAAGTGGGTAAACAGATAGAAAGTCTCTGCGTGTGTGAGTATGTGTGTGTGTGTGTGTGTGTGTGTGTGTGCGTGTTTGTGTGTGTGTGTGTGTGTGTGTGTGTGTAAAAGGGAGTTTGTTTGTGTGAGTGTGTGGATTTGTGGGTGAAGTTGAAGAGGCACAAAAAAGTGGAGCTTGGTGTGTTGGAGGGTATGTGCATGAGTGTGAGAGAGCGAGAGAGAGTGAGAGAGAGAGCGAGAGATAGGGAGAGAGAGGGAGAAAGGGAGAGAGATGATTAGAGAGAGATCAAAAGAGGAAGAAAAAGACAGAGTCAGAAAACTAATTATGCTTACTTAAAGGTCGCTCCTTGAACTTCGAACCTGTGAGTTTGGGCCACCTTGACACTCAAAACCAGGCAGACAGTTCCCGTAGACTGGGAAACAAGAGTGAACTAACTGTGAGACGAAACGTGTCAACGAGGAATAGAACACTTACTTAGCATCACTTTTCTGTCAGGGCTCTGTGTATGAGGGGCATCTGAAGACTCAGAAAATAGACTTGTGTGCCATAAAAAAACACTCATGAACAACTGAAAAATATAGGAAAGACAGTTTATGCTGGATCTATTTGTAATTTCATTACTGCCTGTGGATTCTCAAAATCCGTTCATTTTCAGTGTCAAAATATTTCATACCTCCTTTTTACAACTTTAGCCCGTTACATTTAAGTTGATTTTTTAAAAATAAATAATTTGGCTTTTCTTAACATTTTTTTTTAGACTAAAGTGTTTTTCCCATGCCCGTTTCTACACAAACTGACGCCATATGATTAGTAGTTAAAATTAAGAAACAAATGTTAGAAGAAGAAGAGACAAATGAACACCGAACGCAGCATGCCTTACAGAAAGACTCAAAAATTAAATATTAACAGAACCTCTTTAAAAAACACAATCTTTCTCAACTCCAAATGAGTCTTTACATGGCCGGTGTTCCTCTCTGTTCTTATCATTAATGGAGACACCAGCTCCCAATACATTTACAGAAACAACAACTTAACTTGGCACCGTTTGCTTAGAGACAGCAAGAGCCAGTTCCCCTCTGACTCTCGGCATATTCCGTAGAATACTTAGTAGGTGCCTGACCCCTCTACAAAAAAGTATTATCAAATGTATGAAAAAAATAGTCTTATTGCGCACCCCCTTACCATTCTCACTTTTAACTCGACCTACCCACCTAACCCAATACGTTTCAAACATTTTAAAGATAGTCTGCATTTTCCAAAAGAAAAAAATATTCAAAAGAATTCAAAATCCTTGACTGGTGCAAAGCTAATGATCTTAACAAATTGACACTACGATAGCAAATTGTGAGGGTATGGTTAGCATTTAAAGACAAACTTTTAAGGGAAAAAAGCAGCTCAACATTGAGCGCAGCATACATCAAGAACAACTCAAAGGTTAAAGGTTAGTTACAATTCTTTTATTACCTAATTCCCTCTGCTCCAGTTGAGTCACGAGGCGGGCATTTCCCTCATTCCCACTCCCTAATGGAGACAACGACCTAACAGTTTTTAACAGTCACACTACACAAAAATGGCCAAAACTTTGTGCACTCAGTCTCAGCTACATGTGACCTTTGGTTAGTGTTATTCTACTCTAAGGGGCAGGGCCAAGAAAACGAAGGAAGCTCATAATGAACCCACGCAAGTCTTAAACCAGCCAAGAAAACATAAATCTACAGAACGTTAACTGAAACAACAACTTAACCTATTATCTTTTGTTTAGAGATAACAAGAGCCAGTTCCTCTCTGGCCCTCAGTCTATCACGTAAACCACTAGATATCAAATTCAAAACATCACCAATTTTCACTACTCACCTTTAATGTTGTTGACCCCCCTCCCCCCTTCCCCAAAACCTGAAAAAACCGTTAAGAATATTTTTATCTTTACCTTATTCACCCTCAATTAAACTCCCCCCTCTCCCACCCCGAAAAAAATATCCTTTTCTAAAACGAATCGGAACGAAATCCCCAAAGAAAGCAAAAAACCAAAAGTCCTATAAGACTGACATTAGACTTGAGTGAGTACATGTACATCCACATGGGCAGCTTCTTCCGCAAAAGTAAGTGTTAACAGAACGGTCAAGAGAGACGGTTAGATTGTAGAGACTGGTGCACATCCTAACTTAACCAAAACTAAGGCGTCTTATCTAGGTAGTGCTATAGGGTTAAACAATAAATAACACATGAGCACAAACAAACTATCCATCAAAAATATACACACACATATATAAATACACACATACACACACACACACACACACACACACACACACACA